TTCAAGAAAGAATGAAAAAGGAGGAAATATAGTCATAAAATAGAAGGTAGCATTTCACAAGTAATCGTTGTCACTAGATATGGTAGATCTCTAGCTAAGGGAGACTTCCTCTTTTCACAATACATTGCACAACTAATCCCCTTGAGCACTTTAACAAGAGACTTACTTTTAGAGAGGGTGTGTTATAGGATGATGGAAAATCCATCAATAGTTATCATGTACTTACTTTCTCTTCTTATTAGCAACTTCTTCCCTCCAGGATTCAACATTCTTAGACGAGCTAAAGGAGCAAGTAGAACGGGAAAACATTAATTCCCAACTCTTGTAAATAAATTAACTTTAATATTAGAGTCTGAGTTTTGTATAGGCTCTTCTATACCAGCCTAACAAAATATTCTATCCAATATGATTAGCCCATATGGGCTGCAGGTAGGACATTTGGCCCACATAGCTACAATATGATTAACAATTAAATGGAACTCGAGTTTATGAACCAATAAAAATTGGCTTGAGCTGAATGGCCTAGCAAAAAAGGTGCTTAATCACCTCAATGGAATGCATTGAAGAAAGAAATCCATTTTCAACCCTATCATTTTATTTAATATAATGGCAAGTCAGACTTATCTTTTTATACGAGTAAAGAACTTCTACTTTATATCTTTGGGAAAAAGACTTGCATCTCATAACTCTTGTCATGAACGATATGTAGAATTTAGGTAATTCATGCCTTCTCAGGTACCAGATGACTAAGATCATCATCAAACATGGCATCCATCTTTCTATGTGTCATATCAGAATGAGTATAGACAATAGGGTGTATGAATAGTCTGAGTGTAGCCTAATTGTCGCATGACGCGCTCAGAAAGATCAAGAAATGTGAGACGTGAGTCGCAAGCCAACCATCTTGAGTATAACACTATGTTGTCAAATGGTCGCGTCTCACGGTGATCGACATAGTTGTTGAAGAGCATGTCCTCGACAACCAAGCGATCAAGATACACTTTAAATGACTTTATCGACTAGTTCCCACTGAGTGGTGCAAATGCAGAAGTACTCGACATATCCTCAGTGTAAGTCGGTACACACTACTGGCCGAAGATGCCCGGGAAATGTTGGAGGATCCAAGCCTGAAAAGTGTTGGAAAACACGAATCATCAGTAACTGCGTTGCAAAAATGCAACGAAAATAACACAAAACATTAAAAGGCTAATAAATATTACTGTCAGTAGTGTGATATTGCCTATGACCTGCTTCGTCTTCCACCTACAACACTTTGATAACTTTGAGTACATATAGATCAAACAAGTGCCTCCTCAGTTGTACTAATGGATCTGCTCGAAGTCCTCGAAGTACTGTAGGTATATGACATATGTATAAGTGGAACTCTTGTCCATAAAAATCATAGTGTCAACCAAATATAGTAGGTATGCTTCTATATATACACTTTATAGAGCTCCGCCTACTTGTCATCGCCTCTAGCCTTCTCAACTCTAAGGATCTCATATGTATATACCCTTTTCAGGAATTCAAACCTAGCATGAGCCCCTAGTGTTTTTTTCAAAACTCCTTAATGGCATCCTCTAGATCAGAAGATGCAGCAAACACAACATATTATCAAGTGTGATTGACATCTCACCATGCAAGAAATGAAATGGCGAGGTCTCAGTGTGTTATCTCTCCTCGAATGCATGAAGCATCTCGTGGTTGACCGATCATGCACAAGTATTTCATCCTAGATAGGGACGAAGCAGCCTGAAACAACTCCTCATTCTGCTGATGCAAGCCAATAATCTTCCCCCCATGGTTAATAAACTTCAGCAGATCACAGTGATGCAGAAAAATAAATCAATGTTAGAAACTTGTAATATAATAATAAACATAATTTAAAAATAATGAAGTCAACTAATTTTACCTCTCTGTCCCAAATATCAGTACAGTATGGGTATAGAGGCAGTAGTGACAACTCTACAAGGTCTCCTCCAAATGCTTGAGGTGGTACTGACTTACCATCCACATCAGCGGGAGGTGGCACTAGCTCCGCAGCCTCATCAGCCAAAGGTGGCACTGGCTCATAAGCCTCACGAATATGAGGTACCTCTGGTACTTGAGGTGGCACTGGTGCCTCACATACCACCAGGGACTCGAGTACATATGACGCATGCATAGGTGAAATTTGTCGACCTCGAGAAGGTGGAGGCAGTGATACGTCGATAGGTGAAACCTGTCTCCTACGGGAAGAAGAAGATGGAAAATCAAAAGCCCTTGGAGTAGATGTCTATGCATGGCTAGAGTGAACAGAAGCCTCAAAAACTTGACTTTTCTCCCTCTGCGTTGATGCATGTTGTGCAATCCTCATGTGCATCAGTCTATCGTCTTTATCAACTATAATGTCTGGAAGTAAATCAAATATTTAGTATAAGCAACCATACAATCAAGAAAAGTAACAAAAATATACTAATAATTTACAAAGATGCATATCCGGATACTGGGAATCCAAACTTGAGAAATTAAGGAGATGCATCTCTGAAATTTTCGGTAGCTCTTCAGGTCTGTCAATGGAGGTAATGCAGACCACCGAACCCCGAAAATGATGGTTTAATTTCTATTTTTAACCATCAAACATGTTCTATATTATGTATAAACTATCATTCATTTTACTCATTTATTACATAAATCATCAACTTGTACTCAATTATACAAAAACTAAAAAAAACTTTTCAAAACATAAAAAACTTACAAATTCAGAGTTTTACTTCAGTGCTAAATGATGTCTCTTGTGTATTTGATGTTGATGGAAGAACCTTTGAACTTGCTTGATTGATTTTGAACTTGGTTGATGGGAGAACCTTTTAGAGAGTTTGAGAAACTTTTGAGTTTTTTTTTTAAATGATGAAGGAGAAGGGCTTTGGTGCGGTATAGAGACAATACCGTCCGGAGATACATCTTCGAAATAATTTTGAAGATGCATCTCTAAAGTTTTTTTAACGTTAAGTTGGAATTCTATTTACTCATGGTGAGTCCGAAGATGCATCTCCAAAAATTATAGACATTTTTGTATTTTTACGTGGTGTCATAGTAATATATAGGGTACACTAAGAAATTCTCAAAAATAATTACTATCGGTCTCAATTTTTAAAATAGATTTGGCTATATTAAGATTTTTAAAAACATTGTGTTTATATACTTTTCATCAACTTGTACTCAATTATACAAAAACTCAAAAAAAAATTTAAAACATCCAAAATTTACAAATTCATAGTTTTACTTTAGTGCTAAATGATGTCTCTTATGTGTTTGGTGTTGATGGAAGAACCTTTGAACTTGCTTGATTGATTTTGAATTTGGTTGGTGGAAGAACCTTTGAGAGAGTGTGAGAAAATTTTGAATTTTTTTAAAAATGATGAAGGAGAAGAGTTCTGGTGCGATATAAAGACAATATCGTCTAGAGATGCATCTCCGAAATAATTTTAAAGACGCATCTCCGAAAATTTTTAACGTTAAGTCGGAATTCTATTTCCTCAAGGTGCGTTCGAAGATGCATTTCTGAAAACTATGAACATTTTTGTATTTTCATGTGGTGTCCTAGCAATATATAAGGTGCATTAAGAAATTACTAAATATAATTACTATGAGTCTCAATTTGTAAAATAGATTTTGCTATATTCAGATTTTTAAAAATGTAGTGTTTCTATACTTTTCATCAACTTGTACTCAATTATACAAAAATTCGAAACTTTTCAAAACATCAAAAACTTACAAATTCAGAGTTTTAGTTCAGTGTTAAATGATGTCTATGATGTATTTGATGTTGACGAAAGAACATTTGAACTTGTTTGATTGATTTTGAACTTGGTTGATGGAAGAACCTTTGAGAGAGTTTGAGAAAGTTGAGTTTTTTTTAAAATGATGAAGGAGAAAGGTTCCGATACAATATAGAGACAATATCATCTGAAAATATATCTCCGGAATAATTTTAAAGATGCATTTGCGAAGTTTTTTAACATTAAGTTGGAGTTTTATTTACTAAGGGTATCTCCGAAATAATTTTAAAGATGCATTTGCAAAATTTTTTAACATTAAGTTGGAGTTCTATTTTAGGATGCATCCGAAGATATATCTCCAAAAATTAAAGACATTTTTGTATTTTTACGTGATGTCCTAACAATATATAGGGTGCACTAAAGAATTTTAAAATATAATTATTATGAATCTCAATTGTAAAATAGATTTTGCTATATTCAGATTTTCAAAAATGTAGTGTTTCTATACTTTTCACCCTGTATTCAATTATATAAAAAAAAAACTCAACTTCAATAGTAAATACTTCAATAGTAAATGATGTCAATTATGTATTTAATGTTGTTGAAAGAACCTTTAAATTTGTTTCATTAAAACTTAGTTGATGGAAGAATATTTAAGAGAGTTTGAGAAAGTTGACTTTTCTTAAAAATGAACGAAGAATTCTGATACAATATAGAGACAATACCGCCCGAAGATATATCTCCAAAATAATTTTAAAAATACATCTTCAAAAATTTTTAACATTAAATTAAATTTTTTTAACATTAAATCAAAATTCTATTTACTCATCTCTAAAAACTAAAAACATCTCTAAAAACTAAAAACATTTTTGTATTTTTGCATATTACCCTAATAATATAATATATAGGGTGCACTAAAAAATTCTCGTAAAACTATATATCAGCAGCCAACTAGAAAATTACATAATTGAGATTCACAACTTCTGGATGTCAAACAAAAAAATAGTTTCTCACACACCCTGGTATATTTAAGCTTCTGAATGCAAATGTGAATGCTCATAACAATCCCGCACTTACCAAGATGTGACAAACCTGAAAACTTAAGAAAAAACAAAATTTACTTTGGCCTTGTGTTCTCTATTACAAAACTGAAACTAAAATAAGTTATAGTTGCCAATAACAAAAGAAAACAGAATGATATGTCAATTCGCTGGAATCCTTAAGAATGCAGAATCCTTTTCAATTCCTTTGATTCTGAGCTTCGTCTATTTTCTTTTTCCGTTGAGCAATAACATCATTTTTAGTTTGATTGCGTTCATTAGATATCTGAATGGCAGATTTCAACAACAAAAATTATGAACATCAGAACCAATAGAAAATTCAAACAAAAAAATTCATGTGCAGGCATAGCCGTGATAAAAAGAACGTACCAGCATGGCTTCCAACAGCTTCCTCTTTTTACGTGACATCAAAAGCTTACTCATCTCAGTACCATCATCAACGTTTGCTTGACCATTATTAGTTGATTCACCAGTCTGAATCAATCCGGCAGATGTTTCTTCTCTGGCAGTAGAGCCTGCTGAAGTATATGTGGCACCTTGAAGTTCTTTCTTCAAATCCTCCTGGTATCGCAGCTCATGAATCATCATCTGCAACACAACCATTGAAATAATTACTTATAGAATGATCCCCTCCATTCTTTATACAATCATATTATGGATAGTAAGTAGTTTTTCATACCTTCTGCTTTTCCTTAGACGCATGATTAGCTGCTGCTCTATCAATGACACCATCAGCCAGAAGATTTTGAGGATCTTCCAAATCTTTTTCAAGACCAGGAAGTGGGAGAACTTCCTTTCTGGCAGCAGCTTGCAAGTGCTTAATAGTCTTTGCATACTCCGGAACATATGCTCCTTCTTCATCGTAGTCAACAAAAGGAGACAAATGTGGTGGAGGAATCCTGTTAATAAAAGAGACATCTTAAATTTAGGAACCCTGTAGACTAGAAATTGTATCATTTTTATGTAAAATTATGTCTTAATCTTAATTATGCACATACACGGTTTAAATAACTCAGGTCCATATTACAGAGCAATGGAGAAATAGAATGTAAACCATCAATTCATGAGGAGTGGTTGAAATGGAACAAGGCCTCACATTTTTGGTGACACAAAAATACCCTCTAAAACTGAAGGGAAAATAAATAAATTGTGCAGCAATCAAACTGCCAATGTTTTATGGTGTAGGGGACTGAGTGTTGAGCTAAAGAACCAACACGATTAATAACATAAGAGTACGGGAGATAAGAATGTTGTGTTGGATGTGTGGTAAGACTAGACAAAATAGGATTAAAAATGACAGCATTAGAGAAAGCTTGAGCAGCACCTAAAGTGGAAAGGATAGTAGAAACTCAGTTCAGGTGGTTTGGGCACATAAGAGAGTAGATTTTGTACTAAGGAGAGTAGACCAAGCAGAAACGAATCTTCATGTGTGTCGTTTACATTCTTTTTATTAAAAAATAATTCAAAATATGGATTTATAGGTTTCAACTTATTCATCAGGTTCATTCATATCATCTTTAAAAAAAAAAAGATATTGAAGGAAACCTATGAAAAAATAGAACTATCATTTTAAGTAAAAAGTAATTTTTACAAAAAGTAATTCGTTGATTTGGACCAACCATGTAAGCATCAAAACGGCCAGATATGCACCTTTTAACAGAGTTAGATGGAAAATGATGACGATGCAAACGTTTTATGACTTAAAAGACCAATTTGTTTTTAAAAAAAACAACCTTAAATGAGTAACTTGCTACAAACATTTAACTTTAATGTAAGTAAGATGTATTTGGTATTAAATAATTACACTTCTAATTAGCAACAAATTCATTCTAAAAAAAATTAAGATAGATATGCATATGTCAACCTAGATCACAACCAAAATTAAGAACTCAGACAGATAAATTTCTCAGACAAAAAGTAGCACATACTCACAACCAATAAGAACCCTAATGAACCTAAAAAACTAGGAAAAGATACAAAAAGTCATTTTGGTGAGAAACAATGTCTACATTGTCAAAGATACTTGTAAACCCACCACAATCAACACTAAATGAATTATATTATAGAACATAGAAGAGAGTCCGTACTCAGCAGAAAATAGTTAGAAGTTACCTTCCGACAAGATAGTTTTCAGTTGGCAGAATTATCCTAGCATTCACACAGTCAAATACCCATTGTGGTTGAACATATTCTCTTGAGAGGAACCTATGCCCTTGAGCTTCCCTATCAACAATCTACAGAAAATGAAAGCAATAGCTTAGCAAACATTAAAGTAAGTTTATATAACTTATGTCACCTAAATCACAAACCTGATGAGTAATGCCCTGATCAGATTCCACAAAAGGCGCCCCTTCACCCTCCCATGAAACTATACCACCAAAAGCAGGAATAACAAAAAGCAATGATTCCCTTGGTACCTGAATAATTAAACCATAACAGTAAAAGCAATGTCAAAACATATGCACAGCACAAGCATTTGAGTAATTCCAAAAAAAGGCCAAGCCTAAACAACATAACATCAACATTTTTTTAATATATCTTCATTGGTAATGGTACCTACATATAGGGGTTTGTTATAAGCCTCTGCAAAGTCTTACTCCGGCATATAACTTACCAATGAAACTACACAAATAATAAATGAAAAACAAGACCTTGCTTTGGACCATATTTTGTTGTAATAGTTGAAGTGTTTGACCCAACCTTGATTGGCATCTTTAAGAGATTCATTACCATCTTTGAGAGATTCGTTATTGATTGACAAATAGCACTTGCAAAAATGTTAAAAAATGGTAGCCCTTGAGTTCTAATACAAACACATTAATGAATAACTAGAAAATATGTAAACCACTCATGACTCCACTATCTCATCGAGCAGTTAGTTTTATAAATGTTGGTACTTCTAAGTATAATCCTTTAAGAGATGATGCCTGCTTTTAACATTACTAACCCATACATAAACTCATTTTACAATATCGTAAACCTTATATTGAAAAAATTAACACAAACTCTAACTCAACAAATGCTATATAAGGTCATACCTCCCTGCTCAAGAAGATTTTGAGATTTTGAAAGAGATTTTTGCATTGCCGTGTCTCTTCATCATATTCCTCTTCATCTTCACCAGCAGCTTTCTCAACAAGGTGCATTAGTGCACCAGGTTCATTAGAAGGCAGTTGATGCTGAAGTTGAGCAAGTCTTAGTTCAGAATTTACGTTTTCGGTCTCTGCCCCAATTGGCTTGGACTCCAGTTTTTTAGATTCAACTGATTGAGAAGCTTCAGAATTCAGTATGGCCGGTCTGGTGTTGGCATTGGCATATCGTGACAGTGCATATAGATCTTCAAAATTTGAAGTAAAAAAATTGATTAGACATACTCTAAATTTCTACAAGACTGTTTATTTCAAGTTTCTATAGTCTGACACAATTGAGAAAACATTACCTGCTGCCAAAGCCTCCAAGCGAGGATCAAGAATTGGAGGATACTTCAATTTTATGGAATGGTAGAGGTGGAAATTGATAAAACAAAGAAGAGGCTGCGCCAATTTTTTATATAGATTTACGTTAGAAGTTGTTCATACTAATCAGTATATCAATGTCAACAAGAGTTGTATAACTAAATTTGGTTTATACGTGAATCACATGATCCTATCACATCAGAACTTATTAAAATCATGTGTTTCCATGAATTAGATTTATAGCCCTATTACTTCGGATGAAATGTATATCAATGAGTAAACAAAAAATGAACATACAAATTCTAAATATGAAATTAAACTGACCTCATATATTTGCAGAAAGTTTAGCATAGTAGGAATGTCAACATCATTAGACACAACCTGCTGCAGTGAATGAGGAGTTAACCATGTTATTCTCTGGCCCTCAACTTCCGCCTGCACAAACAAACAACATAATAAGTACATAAAATATATAATTATGATCAACTAACATAACAAATGACCATGATTGGTACCTGGTAGTATATCCCTTTAACAGACACAAATGTTTTTCTCAATTTGTGAGTACGGGATACGAACGCTTGCCATTCATGTGCCAATCTATATAATAGGAGCAAACAATAAATAAATGACTATAATATCATTACAGCACAAAAAGTTGTTGTTTTAAAACATATTAACCTAAAGCTATCATAATTCCATGTTTATACCTTCGACATTTGTGGACCCGCTCCACATCAATTTTTTGGCTCTCAGTAGCAGGTAATGCCGCAAAAAGATGTACCATAGTAAGGCAGTCATCCAATTCTCCGAGGGCATCCACGAATCTTGGGTACCTATAATTCAAAGAATGATTAAGAAAATCAATTGGAAACTCATTGCCAGCTACAAGTCAGACATCAATTGAGATAAAAAAAATCAAAACTCAAACAAACCTCTGTCGAATTATCCTATCGATTTTGGGTTTGGGTGTTTTCTCGCGCAACCTATTTGCACGTTCAAGGTTTTTCTTTCCCTCTGCTTTCTTAATTTTCCTTTCATGTACTCTTATTGCTCTATGAATTTCCAGCAAAGGCTCGTGATGTAGAAAGCTAATATCTTTCACATGGTAGTAAGTTTTATCATTCCCTTTGAACTTTTTCTTAGGTTCCCGAGGAGTTACACCTTTCAAAATGCACAATTTCCTAAAATTTTAAAAAACCAATATAAGAATACAATTTTCTGAATTAACCTAAATTAAAGTGATTGTGAGCATGGAAAACCTGAAAAGGGGTAAACTGATTTGAAGTTGCTTGAGTGCTTGTGTCCTGGTGAGAAACTTAGCAGCATTTCCCTCCTTTTTCTTCCCCTGTCGTGTGAAAAAAATGTGAAAGCAGAGTGAGATTTTGCATGAATGGATAAAAAGATGTTACTGTGAAGAAGAAGAGTGGTAAAAAGGAAGTTGGAAAGGGAGAAGAAGAGATGTGCAGTACTCACGGCGGGTCTGTAGTGCTTCACCATGGCGGCACAGATGAGAATGGACGGCAAACCCTAATAGAGGGTACGACAACGAAAAGAGAAGCGAGAGTTGGAGTCTCTATTTGTTTCGTTTATATACCTATTTAATTACAATTATGCATGTATGCTTTCAACCAATTTACTCAACTTACTGTAAAAAAAATATATTGTAAACAATCAAAATTTAAATATATGACAGCCGTATATTTGGACTTTTTTTTTTAAATAACTGTGATTATTTTGTGTTTGTCTAGACTAGATACTTCTTTATCATCAATTACCTACCTATTAATAAAAATGTCACTATTTTTACTAATTTACCCTTCATTTGATTTTTACTTAACACTACACCATGTTTTTTTTGGTAATTTATTAAATACAACAACTTTGACCAATAGCATGGTCCAATTTTGTCAAGTGGCAGAAGTTTTTTTGAAAACTCTTGTCTTCCTCTTTCTCTCACTTTCTCTCTCTTTCTCTCACTTTCTCCCTCTCATCTCTTTTTTCCCTAAAAAACCCTAAACTGAACGTTCCCCCTTCTCCCCCGTCTCCTTTATGCTTCGTTTCACCATTTTCTCTGCAAACCCTAGCGCAGCCGCGACTTTCACCATCTTCTTCAAGAGTCCAGCCGCAAAAGGAGTTATGACGGCGTCCCTCGCCTTCAACCATTAATTACTGCATGGTATCTTCTTTTTCTTCATTTTAGTTGCTTATGAATATTTTTGTTTCTGTAACCAATGTGATTGATGTTAATTGTTATATATTAGGAACTATCCTCTCTTAATGGCAACTTGGAAAGTTGTTCCGACTCTGGCGGCTGGTTGTGCTACAATATTGAAGCCGTCTGAATTGGCATTTGTGTATGTTAATGTTCTCATCAACTATTACAAAGCTGAGCAATATTTGTTAAGTTGATATATCATGTTTTTTTATGGTTTATAATTTTAGGACCTGTTTGGAGTTAGGCGAAATATGCAAAGAAGTTGAGCTTCCTCCTGGTGTTTTAAATATTATCACTGGATTAGGCCATGAAGTCGGGGCTTCTTTGGTATCCCATCCGGATGTAGATAGGGTTTGAAACTTGTAATAGTTTTAGTCATTTGTTGAATCAAAACTATGTAAGAAGCTAGATCTTGTTCTATATCTCGCGAGTTTTGTTATCTTGATGTTTTTGAGTTTGCTAAGATATTGTACCATTGTGCCCTCTATTTTGATAGATTTCTTTTACTGGTAGCTCAGCAACTAGGAGCAAGATTATGACAACTGCGACACAGTTAGTCAAGGTATGCAAAGAAAATATAGAAAGCTTTCTGTTTTTTTCCGTTATTATTGTTATTAATCTTTCTCCTTTTGTGATTTCTTGTGTGCAGCCTGTTTCACTAGAGCTTGGTGGAAAGAGCCTGATCGTTGTTTTTGAGGATGTTGACCTTGATAAGGGTTGGTGTACCTTCTTAAATATGTATTTATGGAATCACATTTTCTTGCATTTTGGCATCACATTTTATAAAGAACCCATATTTTGATTTCTTGTATTACAAATTTTGAGCCCGGTCATTTTGACATCATATTTACTATTATTCTTCTACTCAAGTGCTGCAGCATTTGCAAACATTTATATAACACTGTTTTCATTGTTGAGTTTTGTCTGTTAAAGTTTGAACATATTACTTTTGTGTTAAAGATACAAACTCGCACACATTCATCAGTAAAAGTTGTATGCCAACATCGTTACAACCAGCATACATATTGACCAAACCATTAAATGTTTATTTTATGTAGTATCTTTATTTTTGTGCTTTACAATGTTATTCTGCGTTGTATCATTTACTATTTCGTTTTTCTATTTGAGTATTTCATGCAAGCAAGATCTTATCAAATCCATTCATGGCATTTAGTGAATTGTATCAATTTGTGAACAACATTGATACTTAAGATCCTCATTCATACATAGTTGAATCAGTTTTGGTGATTGATGATACTACAATGATTTTGGATGGATAAACATCATATTGTCACACCACTGTCATATTCCAATCCATAATCATATTGTCTTTATGCATCAACATTGTTGACTTTAGAAGGTTCATATAATAATAGATATTTAGAATCTAACATGGAGATACATTGCTTATTTTGCTTTCTTAAAGTTGGAACATATTACTCATTTTTTTCTTCATACCCGTGTAGACGCACGGGTCTTGTACTAGTATGACTTGATGTCGCTTGCGCGAAAATAAGGTGTCGGCACAACCGAAGAGTCGCCACCTTTCGTTATTTATCCCTCAGAGCGGGAAAGGAAACGATCGGAAAAACCTTACGAAAAAGGGTAAGACAAGGTCGTCGCAACCGTTGTATGGATTCGGGAGTCGGTTACGCAAGGGGAAGGTATGAGCACCCCTCACGTCCGTCGTACTCGACGGGATCCTCGCTTGTTGTGTTTACTTGGACTGGTTGGTTTTATTCTATCTACCTATCAAGGTTGGCTGAAAAAGAAAAGAAAAATGACTCGGCAAAGCGTTGCGCTTTATGCCTACGTATTCTCATCAGAGAATGAGAAATCAGAGTCAACGTAGTTCGACCTACGAAGGGTTATGGGGGAAGGTAGCTCGCCAAGACATCGCCATCTTGTGCCTACGTACTCTCAACAGGTATGAGAGATCAGAGCTCACGTAGTTCGGGAAACTACGGTTTATTTCCTGTCTTTTACGAAAGAAGTGTTTTTTATTGTGTTTGCGATTTCAATCGCACTAGAGACTATGACCTGAGAGTGAATGCGTCGCATGTCACCCAAAGGGTACCATACTAAACATCTAGACTGTGGAAAAGAAACTCTCCCACAGTCCTTTCTCAGATAGCTTAAGGCTCGTAACGTACGAAAGAAATCATTCATGATTACTGTATCTTAGACTGTTTTGAGATGAGAAGAGAACAGGCCCAACTAGGAGGGAGACTATCAAGTCCTATTGTTATCATGCCATGGATTCATCCTATGGTTGAGGTTTGAACAGGGAACTCCTAGAAGTTGTCATGCATAGGTTTCAACCTAAAGTTCTATCATCAATTCCTTATCAAAGGAAATGAGAGTCCTAAGGGATCATGTCAATGATACACCAAAACAGACAAAGCATCAGCTTAATAGTAAAATGCATGCAATGCAAGTGAGGGAGGAAATGTGTGTGGGGCTTCAGCCTCCACAAGCTCATCTCAACCTCAAGCCAGAATGGATAACAGTAATCATACTGAAATAAACAACATGCTATCAAGCAATAAACAGTAAACTGCAATCATACAGATAAAATGAAATGAAATGCCATCAGGCAAACAAACCACATGGGCAAAGGAGCTGGGCTCTACCGAATACCCGCAAGCAAAGCCACACAGTAACAATATAAGCAGAGGGAGCAACTCAACCTCTAGTGCAATCATGCTCCTAGATTCTACCTATTCTATATATGAACTTATTCTAATGCATCAAACAAGTCAAACAAAACACATCAATACAGAAAAGAAAAAGAAGAAAACAGATCAACTCCTCTCTCAACTCCAAGCTTCAGCTTTTCCAACGGCAGCTCAGTCTTCAGACTTCAATCACTCTTGACAAATATCCATTTGCTTTTCCAGGTTTCCACCCTTCAACATAAGTTTCAATTTATCTTCTCCTTTAAGCTTCAGCTTCTTGATCAGCTCCACCTTCAGGCTTTACTATCAATCATAAGTATCAACTTGGCTCCTTCAGGATCTCCAGGCATCAAAGTAAGTATCAACTTCCTTTGTTCTTCAAGCTTCAGCTCTTCAGAATCAATCTCAATCTCTTAGAAGTGTCAACTTCATCCTTCAGTCTTTATTTCATCTTCAGGGGTCTTCAAGTATCAACTTGCTCTTGTTGCTCTTCAAGCTTCAGCTGGAATGGCAATACTCAAAGATTCATCCTCTTCTACACTCTTCATTGAAGTCTTCATCTTCAAACTCAAGCTCAGCATCTCTCAAGACAATCAAATCAGAGGAAATCACTTACTGGATAAGCTGGGGATATTGAATTGCTCATTGACCACTAAAGGTGACCTTTAAGGGTTCAACATCAAAGGAATGATTCCCTCAAAAGTTCTACTTCCTAGGTACCTCACTTATCCCTCCAAAGGAGAGAGGTGTTTACCATGGAAGGACTTTGAATCATAGGGAGGAATGGAGGTGAAAGATACCATCCATGTTTAAGAAAGAAGTTATCTAAGTCTAAACTCTTCCCAATCCCTAACCCTAAAACAACAAAAAAGGAAATAAGATCAAGCTCTCAAGCTCCTCAATGCATCTTCAAGTCTTCTACTATGCTCCTCAATGCTCCTTAGAATAAGATCAAGCTCTCCAAGCCCACAAAGCAAAGCAACTAAAGCAAACATGCCCTAAAGGCAACACAAACAATCAACCAATACAAAAATCAACTAAAAATAGCATACTACTATATTAAATCATAATATAATTTCTAAGGGATCCTACATACCTACCCTTAAATCCTATATGTCCCATAGTCTAACTTGTCCTAAAAACCCAAAATTCTAATGTTATTATGGACCTATGTTGAAGTTTAACCTAATTCTACACAACCTAATGTCATCTAACCAAAACTATCCTAAAATTCATCACAAAATCATGGAATAAATCCAGGGGGAAGCTAAAACATATATCTAACTATCCTAAAAAGAATGACCTAAAAATATTAAAGGAACTACCTAAACTAAATTCTACAAGTTCATGGGTCAACATAAAAGAATTAAAATGCAATGAAAGTAGAAAATATGCAAAAAATACTAAAATGCATGAAATGAAAAATGTTTTTATTTTATATTTTTCTTGACAAAAATATGAAATAGGAGAAAAAACTCCCATTAAAAAATCTTTATTTTTCCATTTATTATGATTTTCTAAAGTATGAAAGAAAATGGAGAAAAATAAAATGAAATATGAATGGCCGGGGTGTAACAAGTAACAATACACAGTTCAAATTCCATATGGGCCCAGAATGGGGGTTACAAATAGCAAGCGCGCCAGGGCCCATTTATCAATCAAAAAACAATTAATAAAACAAAAAGAAAAAGGAAAAGAAGCGGTGCAAATAGAAACGAATTTCAGTTCAAATCACAATGGGCCTCACGCGTGGGGTGTGGATAGTCATGATCACTCAAGCCCAGAAACCAGGTTTAATGAAACGCGGCGTTTCATTATTTCTGAATTCCCTCCAAAACAAAATCAAATGTGGTGCGTTGGATTGCTTCTCAAGTCAAGGGTCAGCGCATGCATCTGACGGCTGTGAGATCGTCTTCTTCCTCCAACTTAGGGTTTGGCCATGGAAGCTCCAAAAACCAGAGTTTATGCACTCTTCTTCCACCTGCTCGTGCTCTCTCATATCATCATCAAAATCAACAATCTAAAACACTAAATTGATCCATTTCCACCCTGATCACGCCTATGGTATTAGAATGCATTGAACTGGTCTCCATCACAAAATCCGATAGTGCACCTCAAACTAATCTCAAACCTCAACTTCAACCAAACTTAGATTTCTTGATACTAAAATGATCACCACATTGCCCTAATCAAAACCAGCTATTAATCTTGCATTATCACTCACTGTGCCACGAGTTCTTGCTCATCAAAGTAATGGTGTCACACTCTCAAACTCCACCAAATGATCCTAAACTCTTCAGAATTGATCACCTATTGGTCTCTAGCCATTCTATGCTAATAATTCAACCTAACCATGCCTAAATAAAGGTGTAGGAAATAAATTGCAAACATGGTAAAATGGAATGAACAGAGGTAGTAATCCTTCAATTCAGGCCTTGAAACTTTCCAAATTCCTTCACTGAGTAATCTTCTAGCTTCTGTATGCAAAAAGAATGGCTGAAATTGCTTGATTCTTGAAATTCGATTTTGAATTGCTTCCTTGAAATCTCAATCACCAACTCTTAAATTCTCCATGGAAATGCTCTCAATTCAATCTGCACAGCTTCAATGTGATGTATAAAATGTGTTTGTGTGAAAAAAATGAAAGGAAATGAAGAGGAATGAAGAAATTGATCTTGACTTGCAATGGAAGAATTTGGATTTCACTCTCTCTTTCATGCACCAATTCTCACCAACCTTGCATCTGAGCAAGTTACAATCATCTTATAGAGTGGTTTAGAATCATCTAGGACCCTCTAGGATCATCCAATGAGAAATTGAACTTTTCATGTCATGGTATTTTGAATCCAATTCTCCTTACATGCTATCTCATGCCAAGCTCCTTGTACACTTCAATTCTGACTTGAATTTATCCCCACATGAGATTTTGGATGAGTTACAATGCATAACTACCTTGCTTGTTGAGTTCTTTTGAGTTTTGGTTTGGTACCTTAATATGCAAGTAAGCCAATTCCAAAGCAGCCCTATGATCCAAGCCTCAAATCAAAATTGTGGCTGAACCATTGTTCTTAGAATGTCATTTGGAGTCAAAATGACCTATTACATGACATGGTTTAGATTTATA